TTAGCTATGACAGATGTCGAGCTTGCTTCGGCCATGAATAGAACAGTGACAGTGCCTCAGTCGTTGCTGAAAGGATCTGGTAGTCTTAAGAACTACGAGGATGGAGAGATTGTTCACAAACCTCTGGGTGTTGTCTTTGTTGTAAAGAACAAACAAAACAAGATGACCAAGTTTCTATTCCAAGTTTGTGATGTGGAGATGTACACGAACTCTCAGTATACAAGTCTTCTTGTTCGTCTTAATAATTGCAAGAGGAATACAGCAGGAGATAGGGCTGATATCCGAAAGACGATCGTCTGGTATACGAAGATTCGTAGAGTACTTCACCAGGCCACGAAGATGTTAATGACATAGATTCGACACTTCTCACTAAGGGTAAGATTGTAGAGTTCGAATTTTATAGTGATGTGTCAAAGTAAAGTTAGGCCTGGTAAGATTCGAAGTCTGTGTATTGTATTTCGAATGTATGTATTACATAAGGCGTTGATTAGAGTTCGAAGCTATAATGTCTAGTCCTTATGTTTTTTTGTACGCGTCTGTATGTCCTTGTAAATATGGGTAAGTATAGGAGTGAGAGTAACTTATGTATTCTTGTGAGAACGAGAGCACTTTACTCTTTCAGAACTCTTGTATTCTTACAGACATAATCAAAGAGCCAAACAGATTATATTTACATATTTGTTCTTAATTCATTATGTACTTTGATTTTGTTCTTAATACTCGATTCATACGAACTACACCGTTGACCAGCATGTTGACCTATTGACATTTTGACCAAGTTTGACCTTGGGTTAAACTTTAGGGTTTTGGGTCCTAGACTGTGGTTTTGACTTTATAAAATGTCTAAGTGGTTTGTGAGACCAGCCTTCATAATTCTCAACGAGCTGTGCTGTTATCAATATTATTCACGAGGTGAGTTTTATCACTATACTATATACTGCAATATGTGCTCTATTATGTTAGGATGTGGTTAAAATACGGTATGTTGTTAGGCAGGTAGACTTGTAGATTGTTACCTGTGATGTTGAGTTTTATGTTTATATATATTATGTATATGTCGACATAATATGTGGTGGTTTAAGGTGTTCCAGCTTTGTGCGGAAGGCCAAGACGCGGACAGACTAACTTTATGACGAAGGCCAATGGTTGAGTTGATGACAATATGAACACTGAATGGTACTCAATGTTGTTCAGGTGGATCGGTTTGAGTACCGAGAGTCTTGCTTGTATGCATGTATTTTTATTATTGTTTATGGTATTTTAGGGGAACTCACTAAGCTTTAGCTTACATCTGTGGATTAAATATTTCAATTACTTCAAATGATCGTGGGAAGGCATAGGCATAACTGTACACACTTATCAGCAACTTTAGTATTTTGTGATTTTGTGTTTTGTTATCATACTCTGATTTTTGGATGATTGTGTTTTGGAACAATGTTTTTCATGGTTTGTTTTATAAAAGGGTATTTTATCTTATTTAAAAATAAAAAATGTTATTGTGGAACTTGGGACGTTACACTATGATTTGATTGTATTAACTTGTGAATCTTTTATTAATTCTTTGTTTATTTCTGAAATATGAGAAGAAAGAAGCATTATACACGGATCTGATATAATCTAATTTTGAATAAAATATGTAAAAATTAAATTGTGGATATTTTGTAATAAATAAATTATGAATATTTGAGTAAATAATATTTGAAAGAAACACTAGCATATAGATATGAAGGTATACATGTAAGTTTTAAGTTGAGAATATGGTTGTGAATGTATAATTTGTATGCATTAAACTGTGAATTTTATTATATTAAGTTGTGCATTTTATATACTGAACTATGAATTGGTTGTATTAAGATGTGAAAATAATTGTATTAAGTTGTGAACTTTTAATAAATTTTGTATGAATGTTTGTATTAATTTTCTTGTTAATATATATTTTTTGTATAAATATGGAAGAATATATTAGTTATTATAATTACTTTGTATTAAACTCTCAATAAGTGAATTAGTTGGTATTAAACTGGGAATATATTATTTAAGTTGTCAATCAATAATTTTTATATACATATCAGATGTGGAATGAATGATGATTGCAACGGTAGCACTGGTGGTTGGTGGTTGCTTATGGTGGTTGGTGGTGGTGTTTGGGTTTGACTTTTTTGAATATGTGAATTAGTGTATAATGGATTATACTATGTTATAAATTTTACGTATTAAACTAAAAATAGATTGTATTAAGTTGTATATTTGATATAAATTTATGTTAAAATATAAATTAATGTATGCATGAAAATATTAAATTGTGTATTTAGTGAATTAATATGTTTATGAAACTGTGAATATGCCTTATAAACGATATATTTTTTAAAGAAATCTACAATTTAAAAAAGAGAAAATTGTATTTGTCAATCCATAATTCTATTTTGTTTATTATATTTTGTATATTTGGCTGCAAAAACGAAATGGTATGTGTTAAAAATATTACCAAATAAATGAGAGCTAAAATATTTGTTTTTTTAAGTTGTGAATATTAGATCTGACAATTGAGTTGGGTTCGTGTTGGCAGGTCACGGGTTAGCAGGTTGATGGGTCAAAATACATTGACCCAACCCAACAAAACTCATATAATATATGGGTTGGCGGGTCATGAGTTTGTTTAATATAATATTAGTGTTTGATTTGTAAATATATCCTTAATGAAAAAATTAAAAATTAGTTAATGGAGTTCATATATATATATATATATATATATATATATATATATAGATATATATATATATATATATATATATATATATATATATATATATATATATATATATATATATATATATATATATGTTTGATAGTGATAAATAATTAAGAGAAATGCCGACCAAAAGTTTCTTGTGAAATTGGTTATAGAATAAAGAAATGTATATATAATTATATATTATGGATGTTGGAGTTGTTCACGTCACCTTCTCCTCCCCTCTCCTCAAGACATCTCCTTTTCATGTCTAAATTGACATTTTATTTTTCAAAGACAAATATGGATATATGTTATATACCAATCGTATTATATTGAATATAATACCTAGACTTAGCTTTTAAAATTAAAACATGACGATACATACATACATGGAGTAATTGTAGGTATTATTTGATGCTAATTATTGTACATAGCCTTTCACTTGCTACGTAATATGTTATGTTATCCATTTAAAGTCAAGAATTGGAATGACATTAGATTTTAATTTTACTGGATAATTATTTTTCTTGTGTGTATATATATATATATATATATATATATATATATATATATATATATATATATATATATATTGAATGAATTTATTAGCTGAATCGGTAGTTGTTAAATGTTAATGATGAAGCATCTTTCTTTCTTTGTTGTCTAATGGTCAACTTTTACCAAAATTTCTTTTGGTTTTTCATTCGTATTAGGAAAAGAAATAGGAATTCAGCCTCCATCAGCAATCCCATCCATTTCCGGCCATCATCAAAAGTCAATTGCATCTGAAAAGTGAAAACCACCAACTCTATTAATTCTGTTTTGTTGGTTTTTCTAGTAAGTAAATTTTAGAAAGGCAGAAATGGATGGTGGCGTGGATGTGTGAGGTAATTATTTAGGCGATGAAGCATAATTTAGTTATTATAGATAAATACAATAAACGGAAGCAGCTAGCAATAAGATATTAAGTACCAACTACCAAGTACGTACGAAACATCCCTCCCTATTCCCTACATATTAAGAGGGTTTTTGACTAAGTTTATTTAAAGAGTTTTTTAACTTATTACACCGGTATAAACCAAAATTAATTACATACCGGACAAAAATCATTTTGTATAAGTTACTCCTTAGTCCTTACTATACCAATCATTTTTTTTAAAAATTTTATTTTTATAATTTTATAAATCAATAAGCTAATAAATCAGATCTAAATAAACACTCTCAAACACCGTTTAAAAAAAAAATTAAAAAAATGAAGGGGTCCTAGTCCTCCCCCTCCAGTTGACTAATTCCGAAACCAGCCACCTTAAATGCTGTTTCTTTTTGGAAAAATATATTTAAAAAATAAAAGAAAGAAAGAAAGGTGGGTTGCTTATACTCTATGCAACAACGACGTTCTGAAATTACTAATAAAAGGTTAATTCAAAGAACAGAACATTGTGTGGGTCCAAGACGGCTTGTAGGTCCCTGTTCTTTGTAATGGGTTTGCCCCTAATTCTAAATCCTCATCTCTTACCAATTACCAATTACCTCCAACGACCACATCACATGAATACAACTAACTTCACTTATCATTAAAATTTCAACCAACTAATTTTTCTCCCCAATAATCATTCATTCACAAAACCAACTAATCTTCAAGGATCTTAAAGCAGACAGGCTGTTCCAAAATTTGAATAAAAACATATCACTCATTATTTATTATTTATCATTTATATATAACAACCCGAAAAATAAGCCAATTTTCATATCAATCAAAAGTACGGAAACATATTAGTACCTCAGCAAACTCTTTGAACGGAATTTATTTTCAAAAAAAAAAATAATAATAAAGATTAATAATTCTCCCGCTTTGGGTGCAAATATGGTTGTTGCGTGCAAAAAAGCAAGCGAATCCACTAGTTATGACTTTTGTTGATATTTTAACATGAAGTGATTTTACTTTTTTTTTTTTTTTTTTTTTTAACAATAACGTATATAATATATTGGTCTCCTTATTATGACTGCCTTTCACAGAGGGGGGACTAGGAAGCAACTTCCATTTTTGCTATCAAATCCATCCACATATTTCAAATTGACAAAAATCTAAGATGGGTCCTCCTCCTCCTCTTGTTATCTTATTTCAAGATTCAGAATCATATCATCCCTTGTTCTGTTTCTGACTTCGTGTGGATATCTTTCAAACACCAATCCTATCTTCAAATCTCTCAACATAATGATAATGAAAGATTATGACACCAATCTCTTATTCAGATTTTAGACGCATCCATCAGACAACTGGATACAAATAAATATCTTGATGAAACAGACACACACACACCTACATCAATAATAGTAAACCTTGCCAAAATCACTTTTACCAAAACATGTCACTTTTGGATTTCTACATTTAACAGATAGATAACAACCTCAAGGCTTCGTTGCACCTTCAGAATTCGGGTTTGAAGGTGGTACCTCTGAGCACACCCTTAATACAGCCTCGTTCTACAAAAAACATATAACAACTTTTTATCATTTCAAATAAAGAAACAATTTATAAAAGTAGGCATGGTTGGGTTTGGTTGGGTTGGGTGTAATTATCAGATTCTAAATCATATGATATGATTATGGCACTCACTATTCAATATTATCATCATCTGTAGTTCTAACATACCCTAAGCTGCCATGGTTTAACATCAATACTGCAATAGTACATCATCAATCAATCAACTGTTTCAAATTATTACTAACACCAATTAAAACATAAACACATCAATAAAAGAGTCACTAATCAGCATTTACAACATAGTATTAATCATTGATATTCATTAACCTCAAACTCATAAACAGAAACGATGAGGTGAAGAGACAAAAAAAAAATGCATATGTAGTGTGCACTGTACAGACCTAAACTAAGCATGACAATTCAATATGCTTGCTTTTCCCCTTATGTGTAATGAATGAAGTAGCTAGCAAGATGCCTAATTTTAACTGAGGGAAATAAAATATTTTTTGAAAAAACATCTGCTTGTATCTCAGACCTGTCTATATTCTATACTATGCAAGTCAAGTTATGTGCCTTTCAAGGTATCATTTATGAAAGGTCTGCATGGTTTTAACTATTCTTATTATGTTCATATTACTAACATCATTTAACAATCAACACTGATAGTGGTATGGAGACCAAAGTTTGTTACTTGGTTATAATGTACTTGAAATACTAAAAGTGCGTTTGGTTGCGGAAAATTTTCAAATGAAAATGAAAATTTTGAAAACGCCTTCGGTTGATTCATTTTTCAAAAAATTTCCAAGAAAATGAAAATTATCTGTTTTCCAAATTGTATGTAAATTAGAAAAGTGATTTTTACAGTCTTCCAAATTCCTAAGATGGATAATGAAAAGTCCACCGGTTCCAACTTCCAACCAAACACGTTTTCTAAAATTTTCATTGAAAACCGAAAATGAAAACTCAACTCTATTTTCTGAAAACATTTTCTTGGAAAATGAAAACAGTTTTCTACAACCAAATGCACCCCAAGGTTTCTCATATCTATAGCAATTCTCAGAAAGAAAAAAAAATGGAATGCTGCATGCATCCAATACTTCATTAGAGCAAAGTATTGTAGTCTTCAATGCTGCTTTGTGAAGGGAAAAAAAAGAGTAGGGGCAAGTTAAAGAGGGTTTGCAGCACAACTTTTTTAAAGAATTTACCTTGTAATGTAAAAATAGTGAGAAAATGTTTCGTAGTCACAAACACCAACCAACAAAAAAAAAATAGTCATGAGGCTCCACAAATTTTATATTGACAGCCTTATGTTGACATTATAAATTAGGAGCACACGACGTTAGGGTTTGGTAAAAACCGTAAACTCAAGACATTGAGCTAGTTTCCAAATCCACGGCTTTAATAATTAGAATTTGAGCAAACATTCACAAACGTCACTGATAAACCCCAAATTGGTACCATATAGCATCAAGATTCATATGCGATATGTCTATATATCAAAACCCTTTTCAAAAGAAACAATATTAATGATTAAGTTGTTTATTTCCCAGGTCATTAGACTAATCAATAGCAGTAGTTAGTAAGTAGTGTATTCAATCTCATTAAGGTGTAGAATACGTACGGCAAATAAACCCTAAAAAATGAAAATTAGGAGAGAGGGAGGGACCTGCCAGACTCGAAGAATACGCTTCTTGGCGTTGGCTTTACGGGTAGTAGTGAGCTTGATTCTCTTCCATACGAGGCCTCCTGAATCGTGCTTCTTCACTAGTTCCATGACTCGCGTCCCCCAAAACGCTCCCATCTTCATTCTCTTGTTCTTGCTCTTGCTCTTGCTGTTGCTCGCATTCGCAATTCTCCTGGGTCCTGAATCCTGATGTTTACTTGGGTAGTCGAGTATGGACCTAACGGGCTGGGCTCTTTTTAACTTACTTGAACCAAACTTCTTCCACTGTTATCCAAATAATTCTGGATTATATAATTATTATTTAGGTCACTAGGGTAGTCCTAATAATTTTTCATTTTTTATTTAAATGGTCTTTGTTAGGGCCAAGATCCTCAAACCATTCAAGATCCTCAAACCTTTTCAAATATTCAGGATCCTCGACTATCACAGGATCCCGACTATTATTGTTATTATTATTAACTAATATTTATAACGGTTATATTTGGTACATAACTGACACGTGTGTAAAAATAGTCAAAAGGAGACTTATTCTCAACAGAGTTTCGTTTCAACTATGCTAAAGACCCGGAATACCAAGTCAAAAAACGTTCACAAAGCTGGTCATGGAGGATCCCGTGAATATCGGACATCTTGTTAGCTAGTTTAGACTATAAATTGACACATGTATCTCGCACACGACACACTCTGTTTACTCTTAGCTTACTCTACGAATTTTTCACTTGTTCTTACTGGAATACTCTCTGTAATCGTCATTTTACATTAATAAAGTCATCAAGGCAGGTGATCATTATCACCTCCCAAGGTTTTGTGTCGGGGATCCTAGCAAGGATCAAGGGCTTTCCTTGTAAACCATTATGCCATTCTCTTTATCTTTTTCTACTGCACAACTCGAACATCACAGCTTCTCATTCAATTTGGTTGATTAATACTTGTGTAATTTTTGACCAAAACAATTTGGCGCCCACCATGGGGCCGTGGTGTTCAAAATCCTCGAAATATCATGTCTACACAACCGATCCTTTCTTCGTCCTCCGCTCCTTCCATTCCAACCAAAAACCTGCCACCTCCTCCGAGTGGACTCCCTGTTCAGAGGAAAATGCCTGACACTTCCAAGAAAAACACCCCTCCGGTCGCTAACCAATGAAGTTTGGGATCTTCAGGACTCCAGGATCTGATTGCCTCAGTCACTACTGCAGAACTCTTCGCTATGATGAGGAAAATGACGCAACAGGTGACCCGACAGCAAGAGGAGAATAGAACATTGCTTAGAGAAGTGGAGAGGATGAAGGCAGAGTTTCAAAAATCCCAGGAAACAACACCCACAGTTGTACAACCAAGGATCCTGAACTTCGATAATGCAGGATCCTCAGGAAATCACCAGAATAACACAATTCCTGCCGTTGTGGCGTCACCCTGGGGGACAACTATGGACAATCGAGCATCTATGATCAATGATCTCAATAAGCCTTTCAATACTCCTAAAAACCTTGATTCTAGTAACTTCTTAAACAGCAATACTATCAATGCTAACTCTACTAATGTTGATGCAGGAATAAATCCAAACATGGTTAGGGAACTTCAGTAGTTGAGACAGATGATCTCAAGCGTACCCGGGGTGGTCCAACCCATACCAGAAGCATCTCCAACAAGTCACGGGATCTCGATATTTGCTCCCGCGATAGCCGATACCGAAGTTCCTAAGCGCTTCCAAACTCCTAGCATGAAGCCTTACAATGGAACTACGGATCCTGAAGAGCACGTAGCACAATACTGAGAAATGATGGAGATCATTCCCATCCCAGTGCACTTAAAGGAAGCTTGCCTATGCAAAGGCTTTGGTTCAACCCGTACGAGATCAAATCTTAAATGGTTGCTAAACGTTCCTCCCTATTCTATTACTTCATTTGCACACTTAGTCAATATTTTCAATAACCAGTTTTCTTGTAGCAGAACCTGATCTCTATCGGGTGGTTCAGGATCCTAAAGAACGGCTTAGAGATTTTGTTAACAGGTTTAGCAGGGAAGCTCTAAGCATCCCTAACATAGACATGGCGACTGTTGTAGAGGCCTTCAAGATGGGTCTAAGGAAGGATTCACCCTTCTATGGAGATCTTGTGATGACCCCATGCAAGAGATTGGACGAAGTAAGGTGCCGAGCATTGAGATTCATAAGGCTTGAAGAGGATAAAGAAATCCAAAAGAGGAGCAACCCTTCAAGTCAATACGAGAATCCCAACAGGAAGGTCGAATCCTCGGCCCTAAGATCCTACAAATCGAAGCCTATTCCAAATCGGACCATCACAGAGTTAATGCCCTCGAAGATGAAGGAGAAGAAGAGGAACTTCCTAAGATCACTGACTATTTGTTTTTTTGTGGATGTTTCAGGTATAATCCATGCTATGCAGGATCTCGGAGACAAAGCAAGATGGTCGAAGAAGGATAACAAGTCCACCACTTGGAAAGACAAGTCCAAATGGTGTGCTTACCACGAAGACTTCGGTCATACAACAGAGGATTGTATATCCCTAAGAAAGGAGATCAGCTACCTCCTTAGCAAGGGGCACCTCAAAGAGATCCTCGGGAGAAATAGAGAAAAGTCCAAGGAGAACAACCAGGATGGTCACAAGATCCCGGAGAAACCAGGATCTCCACCCCCAAAACGCCAAGATAATTAACGTTATCTCAAGTGGATCTAAAATTTGTGGTACTTCTTACTCTTAGACTAAAAGACACGCCAAGGTCTCTAAAACAGAAAAGGAGGATAGACCACGAAAGAATATTGTGGTTAGCGATGATAAGGAAATCACATTTGACGAGACGGACAGAGAAGGGATCCAGGATCCTCACCATGACAGACTCGTGATAACACTGTACATGGCCAACCACTTCGTCAGAAGGATCCTTGTTGACGGAGGATCCTCGATCAACATCGTACTCCTAGACGCACTAAAAAGGATGAACATGTTGGGTTTTAGTTCAAAATAGTTTCATAAACTTGAAAAATATGGCAACGGAAGACTTTAATTTTTGAAATAACATAAACATTTTATACCCACCAAGGATCTTCTTGCAAGTTATAGAAAGATTAAAACACCAACCAAAGAAGAGGTGAAAAAATAACAACCGTTGTAGTTCTTTAGGTCCTCTCGGGAGGCTTGGAAGTTGATGAAGAATGTGGAACCTTTTAAGACACCAACAATGACTCAAACTTAATGTAGATGCTAGTCCAAAACTCTTAAACCCTTAAGCTTTAATTTCATAACCAATATGAACTTAAAGAGGGATTGAAGATGCAAGTGTTCTTCAAGTTTTCTAACCAAAACTAAAGAGAAAGGGAGAGGGAAGAGAAGATTCGGATTTTGCATCAAGGAAAATGAGCAAATAATCCAAGTGCAAGCTCTCTTATTTATATGCATAAAGTGAAGTTATTAACCATTAGTCCTTAGCACTTTAAGCAAACTTGTCCCCATTGTCATAAGCATGTCTCCCATGCCTTTAAAGCATGATTAGACAAGTCATACACTTTGTAAAACCCAAAATGCTACTATGTATCAATCGGATTCACTTGATGGTGCGGAATCCCAATCAAGTGAATTAGACAAGACGAAATAAAGAATAAGAACAAGATGATTAATATTCGATGCACATTATTATTGAATAGTCGGGTACATAAGATTCTTGATTACACTTGGTTCTCTCTTGTTTTCTCTCTTAATCACGTTCTAACCATATGGCATCCCCCAAAATGACCCACCCCCTTTACAAGGCTTAAATGACACTATTTATACCTAGACCTAATAACCAAGCCCAAGCCCAAAACCCAAACAAAACAACATTAAGCCCAAGGTACTATCATCAACAAACCGAAGTCTGATGATATTCCTCCATAGTTGCTCTGACACAGAGTGCAGGATTAGTTTCCTTTTGGAACAAAGTCCATTTTGAAACTAGGTTGACCTTTATCATCTACACAAGGTACTCTCTCCCATGACATATCATGTTTGTTACACACAGAAGATGAAGAAAAGTTAGAATCATTAGATGATTTGGGAGTATGAACCTTTGGTACCCATCTGTAGTCGGGTTTAACCTATTTCTTGTTTAATCGGATGGATGCCTCAACACTCGTTTTAGAACTTGAAACCGACCATCGAGATGACTTCGACCTAAACGATCTTGGTCTACCATAACCATCTCTTGAATTAGGCTTCTTGTCACACATTACCCTTTTGTCCTTGGGAGATTGATTCTTGTCCTTCTTAGCATTCCAGTCACTGTTACGTGAACGTGACCTCGAAGCGTTTCTTTTGGAGGGTCTCCCTCTAGGCATGTTCTGCCAACCTTGTGCATAGTAGGGGACATATGCACGATTTGGACAATTTTTGGCAATGTGTTCAGGTGTTCCATAATGGAAACATGTATGTTTCTTCACGTAGAAGTTGTTTCTGCCTGTCTCTGGTAGCGTGCCCATGCCTTGTCTCTGATTGTTCCCACAAGCATACTTACAACAAGCAGTCTGTTTCGCTTGTTTTGGTGGCCTGTATTTACCAACAGCAGGTTTATTAGAAGTAACAGAATTAGAAGCAACAGATTCAGAGTTCAAGGAGACATTGGTTAGACAATCAGAATTAACAGAACTAGAATTATTTTTGTTCTCCTTGTTCTCATCTTCCACTTCATTACCTGTACATGAAGTAGAATCATTAGTATAGTTCACCTCAATATTCTCAGTTGGGCTAGATTGTTCAGTCTTAACTGAAGCTGGTACAGGGGGCGCGCCACACTGAGCAGGTGTCTCTACCTCATTGGTTTCAAGGGGCGGCGTATAGTTGTCATTGAAGGGAGGTGGAACACTGTGATACCCTAGACCCTTATTCTGATTATCTTTAAATTTTAATTGTTTCTCAATCATGGACACAACTACCTCACTTGACACGTCAAATTTCTTAAAGTTAAATTCAGCATCTTTATATTTAGCTTTTAGTGCATCAAGTTCGGCAGTTAAGCTCGTAATCTGACTCTTAACATAGTTATAGTTCTCATATTTGTTACTATAGTCTTCATGAAGTTGTCTAAAGTCTCTTATCTTGGCCTCTAGTTGTTCTTTTAGAGGTTTTTGGGCCTTCTTGAGAGTATAGCCTTCATACCTAAGGTCCTCATTTTCTCTACGCAATATATCAATTTGATCACGAAGAAGTTTAATTTTAGCTTCACAGGACTGAGAACATGAAGTTTCATTAACCTCGGTGA